ATGGTTCGCCGTATCTGCCGAAACATTCGTAACTCTTTTCTAAAGGTCAATATCATTACACAGGTCATGAATTCCCTTGAATCCATTACAATGCCAATAATTATAATTATATCATATCAAAATGGTATACTCTATTTATTAACAGTGGGAGTACCATAACAACATTATGCACTGCTCTTGCAGTGTTTAAGAACAGAACCCAAAAAGAAAAAATAGTGAAAAAATACTAAAAACATTTTAGCCAATCAAAATTACTATCAAACATTTAAATACCAATTAGTTCATCAACAAACCCAAAAAGAAATTATCAACAACACAGTAGAATGGTTTACAGCACCACAGCATTGATGAGAGCTGAAAAGTCAGATAAAAACTAATTACAGCACCACAGCATTGATGTTGTCTGCTTGGGTGTCAATTGTATAGGTTTTGGTGGAAAGGATATAACATTCAAGACTCGATTCTTGTTTCTCCACGTCAACCCGTTTCGAAACCTGCATTCTCTCGCACCGAAGCAAATGATGGCAGTCAAGCCAAATCAAGTAGAACTCTTCACCACGGAAATGAAGCAATTGCATTGCATACCTGTTGCAACCCCAAAAGTAAGGATGTATATCCACGATAAGGCCGTGGATTAGCACCTGGAGATCCATATTATATGCAAACATCCCGCACTTATAAATGTCGTTTTCCACCATCCGAATCCAGTAAAAAGTGTTATCAAATAACATAGGGCGGCTGCCGCCATTAATAATTAGTGACTCGACGAACGTTTGGGGCAACACTCCCCATGAAGCATCTCTCAGGTCATAGACAAGGAGGGAGCAAGTAGAACCCAAAAGAATCCTCCTTGAACTATAATCATACACTGAAAATATAATATCATTACACGGAATTTCTGGTGGTGGTGGATTAATAGACTCCCACTCATTCTTGCTGGGGTTGAAAACCTCGCACATAAAACGTTCAGGGGGTAATTTAAAATAGTTGTTACCGGAATCCTCGTAACCACCAAAGATGTAGATCTTGCCATCATCAGCCGTCACTGCCTGTGAATAATCGCCGTACCTTTCCAGGTTCATGGAAGGGACTGGTTGCCACTGCAAGCTAGGGTTAGGGTTAGTGGTGTCCCAGAGACGACGTTGGAGGCACTAGTGCAGTATATAGTGGAGCCCACAGCCACAAAGCAGCTGTTCCACGAATTTTCAGTGATAATGTTCCTCAGGATCGGTTTGATATGAAGCTTCTGATTTTTTGACCCCCATCTTCTTCTTCTTATTGTTTTGCATAGAACTACTCTTCCTGTCTTCGTCTTCGTCCTCGTCCTCTTCTTCTGAGTCGTCATCGTCTTCGTGCAATCCTTGCTTGATAATTTAATAACGTACCAATCCGAAGCTGTCTGTTTGTTAAACACCCCATTCGCCCGAATATACACAGTTCTCTCTAACAACTCCTCCTCCTCCTCCGGCTGAGACCTGGATCCAGAGATTGCCTTGTTCCCTGATTTTTTCATTAGCAATAGTCCCATGGACGTCGCCATCAGGGCCGGCCCTGAGATTCCAAATATTTTGAGAGGCCCCAGGCAAACTTTCAAATGTGAGGCCCTTAAGTTTCACACGCGCAAAAAAAATTATAAGAGTGTGGAATTTTCACACGATGTTTTCAAATTCTATAGCTAATTTAATTGTGCGCATGTGCATTGTGCATAAGACAACTAACTAATAACTATAATTTTCATTCATTAAATTTTCATGTTCATTGACTAACTTCCTATGATCTTCATTCATGTTTATTGAGATTTTCTTCATTTGTTTTCGCATTCATATGTTCTTCATTCACCGAATCTTCAACTAAACTCTCTATTTGTGTATTACTCCTAAAAAACTTAAGATTATCTCCTTTTTCAGATTGAATCAATTCTTCTTCTCTCTTCTTTTTTTTTTTTTTTTTCCTTTTTTCATGCCCAGATTCAAATTTTTTTGTAGACATAATGAAATCTCTTGAAATCTAAATTACAGGAACCATAATCAACATAAAACTAGACTTCAAAAAAATAATAATAATAATTTGCTTTGTTTAAAGAAAATATATATTACCTCAATATGCAATGATTTGATTCAAGTTCAAGGCAAATAACCTCACGAGATCCTAAGAAGAGTGTCCTGCTAGCATGTGAAAGAAGATCACAGTTAACATAAAACGGATGGAGAATCAAACAGAAACAATAATAACTAAGCATTGCCGATCATAAAATAAATATAATAAAAAAAAAAATCTAAAATCCAGCAGTTTGGTCGAATGATCTCCTGGCTGGAGTTTTCACTGGAATCTGGAGGAGAGGAGAGAAGACAAAACAGAGTATCCAAAATACAGTCCAAAAGTGGAAATGGGGAACAGAAAACTGCAGCTTCTTTTTTACATTCATTGTTTATATAGCTGCTAAAATTTGAAGACTACAGATGACAAAAATATGTGGAGATGAGGTGACTATATATATAGGAGGCTGAACTTGTAGTGCTGAAGAAGTAGTGGGACTTTTAGGTTATATGTGGCATCCACTATCATATATAGTTTTGTCTTTCACTCTTTATATTAACTACACTTTGTGTGTGTTTTTTTTTGGGAGCCAATTACCCCTTTCTTGATTTCAGGATGAGGAATCAACTTTAGTAGCAATGATTGATTGATCATTGCTACAGAAGACCTGTGCAAATTGATAGAAAAAACCATTAACTTTTGTTTTGTTAAAGCCTGCTCTTGATTTCCATGTGCTTGTACATTCTGATGGCAAGTGCTTTGACAGTATTAACTGAAATTCTAGCTGAGCCAACTTCAAATAACATCAATAATGGTGGTATGTATCTTCATATAAAAATAAAATATATAAAAAAACCCTTAATTTGGCACTTTTAAGTATGAGCATAATTTAGAGATCGAAAAAGTTAATTATTACCTCAACGGCTCAACCCACTAGAAGGAATCCTTAATTTTCGTACGATTGAATGTGAAAATGCAAAAACTTATGAGGAAAAGGGGTATGATTGCTGCTGTTGTGAGATTGGAGTGGAATTAGGGAGAGGGAAAAAAAAAAAGGGTCTGCCATAGATTATGGACTCGATCGCCATGAAAGACACATGTAGAAAGGCACACATTTATTAAAATACAAGAGAACCATAATATATTCATTCAGCTTTTGATAGTCATCACACACAGTGACACACACACACAAAAAACCCTAGTTTGGAAGCTACTTTTCACTATTGGAACGAAGGTAAAGGCCCGAATCAAACGAACCAAAGTTGGAACAAATCAAATGATGAGATGAACGAAAGAAAGAAACATATATAAAAGACCGATTCATGCAAAAGGAGAGAGAAGAGAGAAAGAGGATGAACATACCTTGTCACCTGAGGGCCGAGGCGATAGCGGAGGCAGCGTCCTGCGGAGTGTCGAAGCAGGTTGTGTCGTCTGAAACTTGCCCTAATTTTTAATTTTTTTTTTTAGTTAAAAGGTCAGCATAATACTCCGTATGTTTTGGTTTTTTTTCCATCCCCTATGGGCCTCAAAATTTGAGGCCCAAGGCGACCAAGACTTGTCCTAACTTAAATTTTTTTTTCCCATCCTCTATGGGCCTCAAAATTTTGAGGCCCCCTAAAATTTGAGGCCCAAGGCGACACCCTTGGTCGCCTTGGGCCAGGGGCGGCCCTGGTCGCCATCAGTCTTCCACCTGCCCTCTATTTTTAGGGTTTCGCTCGTCAATTGGAGAATTTGGGCCATTATATATACACGATGACACATTGCAATCTGTTTGGGAGCAGGATTATGTGACCCCTATTACATGCTAAATTTGTTTCTACCCTTTTATTAATTACCCTATCTTGAATTTTTCTAACTCCTTCCTAAATAATTAATTCTATTATATTGCATAACTATATATATATATATATATATATATATATATATATATATATAACTATATATATATATTTTTCCCATGAGTAGATCATGATCCAATCACAAATAAACAAAATCAGAAAAATGATAAACAATTAACAATTTAAATCAAATAAACAAACATAATTACACAATTAATTCAAATAAAACTATTTAATTAAAATGCCTGTATATAAACTACAGATAATAATTTTTTATATATATTTTTTAAAATTTGAATGTTTAGCCTTCGATAATTAGTGATATCTTTGTTACTTAAAATCTTATTTTATTTTGAGTAGTGTTTATTATTTTCAGTGATATTTAAATTATGTACTTCATTGAATAAAGGTTTAATATGTTTAAAATTATATACAAAACTTGTTATCCAACTAACACCCAACTATAATATTGATAGAAGTCACTTATGGCAATCTAGATTCAACTTTACCATTATCATCAGTCATACAGTATTTTCTTTTTTGGATTCTTGAATTAGTTGTTTGCCCACAATTTTTAGGGAATGGCTGGTTGTGACCATACATTAAAATAAATAAATAAAAAAGGATTAGGGAATCTATTTAACTCATTTTAGTAAAATGAGAGAACTGTTTCATTATTTTCTTTTATTTTTCTGGTTTAATTGTAATATTAAGGATCAGCCAATGCCAATGCCCTTTAATATTACAATTTTGAGAAGAACCAATGCCATACATATAGACCACATCAGTGGTCTATTCATGGTTGAGTAGGCTAGTCTTGCCTTTTATTAAATTTTAAATTTTTTAATTCATGTTTTTTCAACGAGAAACACAATTAAATGGCGTAAGTACCATAATACTATTAAAAAAAAAAATTTGATTAACAATTTCTTCTCAAAATAATTTATTGAAAAATAAGGTTAGGAAAATAAAATATTTGTAGAAAACATTGGTTCAGTTTTTGAAAAACAATTGTAAAACTCCAAAAGTGAATTATTTTTAAACTGAATTTTAATAAGAGTTATATATATATATATATCTATATTTTTAGTTCACGAGAACGATTAAACAAAAACAGCCCACGTGTTTGTGGGTATGTTTTGTTTTTATTTTTAGAATTTCAGCTAGCACTCCTCTATTCATCTTTCCTCTACTCTAGGGTTTTTCCCAAGTAGGGTTTTGTTAGGGTAATGATGCTCATGTATGGCGAAGAGCGCATATGATTGCAGGAAGAAAGAGAAATGTACAGAAAACGAATTGAAATTATCGGACTTGCTATACAACGAAGACATTATTCATACCATTTGTGATTGATTGCTGTTGTTCTCACTATACTTCCATACCACACCGTTCCAAACCCTCTTCCCATTTCCCCCAAAACCTAGAAAATGTTGAGGTCTCTTGTCAGAGCTGTCAATTCAGCAACAAGAGCCCAACAGAGCCTCTCGAACTCTCTAATCTCTGGTTCTACTACTCAGCTCTTGAATTCGAGAACCTATGCTTCGAAGAACAAGTCCGATTCCAAGAAATCCTCAAAGTCTAAGGGCAAGAAAGGCCAATCCAAGTCCGATCCCAAATTCAATGCGAAATCCAAGCCCGAAGCCAAAGCCAAACATACCGCCGAGGTCACCGCCGACGATTCCGTCCCGGACATCGCGGTCGACGACGAGCTTCGTCTCCGCCGGCTCGCGGAGGACGAGAAGAATAAGGCTCTCGACGTTGGCCCTAATGGGCGTCCTCTGTTTACCTCCACCAGTTCGCTTGCTCGACTCAATAGAAAAGACACCTGCAGTTATATGAAATTCAGGTGCATATTCATACGCGTGTCTATCAATTTATTTCTCTGCTGGTACTGATTATGTGGAGTTTGGTTGGACTGATTGGTTTTTGATGCAGAATGGTGGATCTGAATGCCGTTTTACCAGAGGGGTTGCCGATTGGAATGGTGAAGGAGTTTGAGGAGTCCAAGCGGGATGCACTGCTTGTCCGGCAGAGTTTTTTGGATCTTCGTGATAATTTCAGGCGCATTGTTGATCCACCATTGCATTTTGCAGATGGTAAAGGTAATGTTGACTACGAAATCATGTGTTAATCCTTATTCAGTTTTTTTTTTTAGTTTTTAAAATGTATGTCAGTCTCCTACTTCTAGGAATGCAAATTTGTGAATTTATCTTTGTAAATAGATATCATGAAAAAAGAATTGTCATTCAAAGTGAGAGATTATTATCATTTGGTCAGATAAAATACTCACACATACACCCACAAATGCTCCACTATAGGGTTCAAACCCCTCTCTACCCTTTGAGAGAGGGGAGATTATACCAGCTAGGCTAATGGTCCAGTGGTAATGTGAGAGATTGTTATGTACTATTGATATATAACCATGCCAATGTCTGTTAAGGCAACTACATCATTCCTTGTTAACCTATGCTCAAGGTTCCATGGACGCTCCTATTGGACATTGGTTTTTTAATATTTGGGCTTTAGGCACGATACATGTACCCGAGTCCAAGTAACATAATCTATTATGCTGAATGGGCCTGGCTATGCGAGTTGGCAGTGGACATGCGTCTTAGGTGTGCTTTATTTAATGCCCTATCTTTGAAGATTGGAATTTCAACTAGTTCTTTAGACTTCCCTTCTTCTCTTACTGTAAAAGGTATTTATGTTACCTGTATGTATCATAACATAAGGTTTTCAACAATAAGTATTTAATTTAATTGAAATTTCCATGCAGAAGGAACACTTTAAGTAGTGTTCTATAAGACTTCTCAAAAGTGATGAATATATTTTTCTGTTTCTTACAGTAGGCATGTCAAATGCATGTTTGACATGGGTACGTAATACATGAAGTGTCCATGTAGCAAATACATTAACATAAAAACAATGCAGACCCATTGTGTTATAGCTCTCTTGATTGGATCGCGGCCTTTTGTTTGTTGGATTTTCCCTGTATCGCATGGGCTAACATCTAGTTTGATTTGTAATATGGTAATATAGGAGATAATCTTAAGATAGGAAATGAGTTAATATACAAAAAGAAAACTATTTAACAAATGCAACAAACAAGCAAAGAAGTGAAAGAATTTATTTTATATGAACCAATAAGTAATTGAATATTTGGCCACAATAGTAATATTATTCAATCAATATATCTGAACTCAGCAAAATAAATTAGCATTTCTGAATGCTCAAAATAGAACATGATTAACCTCATTTATTTTATGTGGAAGTGAACATATTATGTAGTAGTTCTCACAATATCCATCACACATTTACAGGGAGGGAAAAATAAATAAAATTCCACGAGACATTCCAGTATATATCTTGTTCTTCTTCTTCTTCTTTGACATTGAGAGAGTGTGTACTTTGTAGGGACCCCACAACCGAAAAAGCATTAGATTTGATGCATAACACATCAGAAACTCTGTTAAAGACTTAAAGTTAATGTACGTATTTATTATTCATTTTTATTGATGGCACCATAAGTATTATTTTTCTTTGAAGTAGATTCTGAGAAGATTTCAAGCCCAGCATATGTGGGGTCTTGCCATCAAACAAAAGAAAATATTATGTTAGTGTGCTTTGAGATGGCAAGTTGTGATTTTGGCAAGAAAGAAGAGATCTTTCACTGGATCAGCACAATTATCCATCAAATTGAAAAAATCAGTGCCTTTTTGTTGATTTTATTATTCTCAAAGATACCTGATAGGTGTTTTTTGAATCCATGAAGGAAAGCTCTTGAAGATCTCAGAGCATCCTTGGTGTGCAGCATTGGCACATGAATAAGCTTTCTAAGTCCAATGTTAATTCATGGTAATTTATTTGGCTAAAGAATTTTTATACATGCGAAATTGGTATTTAGTGCCTATTTCAAGATTTCACATTTCCTTTTTGTTGTGTTGTCTCCAAATCATACTTGAACATTAGTCTCTTCAGTTGAAGTGTAGATACTTAACACACAAAAATATCGCTTCCGAACATATAATCAGATGGAGGCAGAATCTCGTAGAAAAATGATAGATAATTCAGAATAAGCGATTTATGGTGGTATTCAACTTTCCAGGTCCAAAAGTTCGAAAGCAGATTGTTTTGGATGGTCCTGTTAGCTGTGGGAAGAGTATTGCACTTGCAATGCTTGTTCACTGGGCCCGTGATGAAGGTTGGCTGGTTTTTTATGTCCCCAGTGGTCGAGAGTGGACTCATGGAGGATTTTTCTATAAAAACCCACAAACTGGTCTTTGGGATACTCCTGTTCAGGCAGCAAATATTCTCCAGGCAAGAATTTGAATCTTTTGTCAGCTAGATGTGATTTAGCTTATAATAAGATTTGATACAGAGCTTGCATACCCTGTTTGTCCCTGTGGCTTTCTTTTTAGTCATCAAGTAAAAATTAAGTAAACAAGATGAACTTATTTGTTTCTGGTTTTCCATTTATTTTTTCAACTGTTCAGATGATTCGTTGCTGAAACCAGGTAGTTGATCCCTTGCAATATGCATAAATAACTAGGAAATCTTTGAAACTCCCAAGTCCATAAGCTTGTGGGTTGTCTGTGTATCCTCTTTATTATTACCAATAAATCAGTACTGGCTTTCATCACACCCATCTAGATGTTGCTTGAAAGAACATAAGAGGCATATACAAATTAAATACTTGTATCAGCAATATCTGAGTTGGATAAGGGAAAAAAAAATACGTAGTAAAACAAAAATCAATATCTGAGCCTGGAGTGTTTCTCATGTTTCCTTGAAAATCGTCGAGGTTACAGGAGGTGAATAAGTGTCCAGTAAATGGTACCATATGCCGGCGACCAACCTGGCAATAATTCATACCAAAAGCGGTACTATATGCCGGCGATCAACCTGGCAATAATTTATACCAAAAGCTCCAATGAAGTTTAATTCTACTGCTATATAAGCTCATTGTTCATCTGGTTATTGTTTCGGTATTGCAGTTCTTTTGTTTGTTTGATTTATAACATGACTGTATGAACTGTTCCGTCTTTTATACAGAATTAGCAGTGGTTCCTTAAAGATAGATAGGTATTTAATATATATCATTTGTTTGTTTTTTGCATGTGTCTGGAAGTACATCTTTTGGGTTCTTACCTTCTCTATGGGTTATTTTTCTTCAGGATTTTTTAAAATATAATGAATCTCGCTTAAAACAATTACCATGCCAAATGTTTGATCCTATTCCTTTGGGAGAGGGTACTGGTGTTGGATGGATGAAAGGGGTTGATTCTATGACAATGCCCGAAGGTTCAACATTGTATGATCTCATTCAAACAGGACTCACGTACACACATGCTGCTGTTGGAGTGGTAGTTCGTTTGAGAAAGGAGTTATCACTTATAAAAGACATACCTGTCCTTATTGCAATTGATCAAGTAAGTTGAAGAATTTTGTTTTGATCCACTAATTCATTCAGTTCTTAGAATATTATGTTTTAAAGGGCTTTATCACAAATTGTATTTAATTTGCTGGTGATTGGTTTTTTATTTATCGTTTGTTGCTTGTCTCCAGTATAATAATTGGTTCACATTCAGTGAGTATGGGGAGCCTGTAACTGTTCGCTCTTGCCGATCCATTCATGCTAAAGAGCTTGCAACGGTTAGTTAAAAGATTTTATTTGTTCTCTGTAGTTGGAAGTTTTATTTTGTTCAACTAATTCTTTATGCAAGATGCTTTTAAGATTATATGTGTGTGTGTGTGTGTTTATTGATTATGGTTTTGGAATCATGAAGAGTGAATTATTTGCAGGCAATTGTTTATGAGCTCAAGAACTTCTATTAGTCTTCCCCACCTTCCGCCCTATAAAAAGAAAGAAAAAGAAAAAAAAAAAAAAACCAACAATATGTTTTTTTTTTTTTTTTCTTTTTCTTCATATAATAGTTCTATTAGCAGTTCACTGAAATGCATTTTTAAAACTTGATCAAATCAATTATTCTCATCACAGTTACTTATTTTTATAAAAACAAAACCAGTCATTATACCATTGGGAATCAGGGAGGACTAGAAGTTCTTGCAAGGATGCATTTTATGTGCTTAACATAACTCGACTCGTGTAAACTTTTCTTCGTATGTAAGGAGTAGCATCTTAAAAAGTGCTGAGGCATGCTCCTTCAGATGCGGATTAGGGTGATGTCCTGGGAAAGGCCATGCACATATTCAAGTGGCACGCCTTCCACTCTTTGTCCATCATTCATATAAGGAATGAAGAATTATTGTTGGAAAAACTACTGAAATGAAAAATTAAGTCTTTTTTTTATCTATTTAGACTTGGAGATGCATGTGAGAAAAATGAATGAGGTTTTCTGTTCTCTTTCAAGATTTTGATGTTGTTTTCTTAGGATGGATGAGGCAACTACCCCATTTTAAAAAAAAATATTTATATGAAACTGGGTATCAATTAATATATATAACTAAAGGAGCACAATTGAGATGATGAGAGATTGTTCTTGTTTGAGTAAGAAACCGCAAGCAACACAATCAAACAAAACAAGCAAGTCATGGTGGATAGAAGTGATCCCATACTGTTAAGGTTAAGATTTGACTATTTCCTTTTCAGCCGATCACTTGGCCATTCCCGCAAATCTAGGAAGTCCCCTGTAATTCTTTTTTGTGGTTATTGGGTTCTTCTAGTCATTTTAGATATTGTATACCGTGTATTTGGTGTGGGTTCACCTGCTTAAATTTCAGTCATATATCTTCATGGAATGGTAGGAATTTAACATACATGAGTAGAATTTTTATGTCAGTCCTTAAAAATAAATACTTTTTATTTGTTCCTCATAATCTAAATTCCCTTTTATCTTGACCTACCTTGCATGTTATTTAATTGTTCTTAATGATATGTAACTTCTAGTTTCCTGTTGGGTTTCATTTTATATTGGTCAGTGCTCTACTACGTGGATACTGTAGCTGCTTGGGTGTTATTATTCGTGTTTTATTTTCATTATGATTTTTTCTTTTTCCATTTTTTTTTTTTTGGTTGTGTGTGTGTGTGGTTATGTCTTAATTTTACTTGTTCGATTGTGATTAGATGCATTGTGTGATAGTGAATTGTTGTGTATTATTTGTAGGTGAATGCATTTAGGTCAATGAAGCACAATGATATGATGGTGGGAGCTTTCTCTCATTCAACAGCGGTAGGGAAGCTACGCATGGACCTGCCAGGTGTTCCTCATGATGCTCGGATTAATTTTCCCCGCTACAGTTTGGACGAAGCTGCCACTGTTTGCCACTACTACCTCAGGTATGCATTATTAATCTATTATTGCCATGCCTGGGATGTTTCCTCAACATCCTAATGTTGTGTCGTGGATAGAATTATTATTTTTTTTCTTTCTGATAAGTGGATAGAAATTTATTGCTAAGGTTTACTTGAACACGCTAGTATCTTTTGCTGTTTTGGGTTTTTGGTTGCTTGTCCACTGTTACGGATCAGAACTTTATAAGATGTTGTTTGGTACAATTGAAAATAATTGTTGAAATTTTCTGTTGAATTATTAGTCTTGGAAACTTTTAAGAGATTGAAATTGTGGTAGTGAAAATTTAGGAATAAACTTCTAAATCTGATTATATTTTTAAACCACCTTTAACCTAGCACATTTGGCATTCAGTGATACATGTACATGAAGTCTCTCTAACTTAAAAGTTAGGTGTTTTTTCTTTAATATAATTTTCTTAATAATAATCAATTGTATGCTACCATACTCACTTCATAGACAAATCATAGGATTCACTGAAAAAAATTAGGTTTAAGCTGTTCTCAAACAATACGAATCAAGGTTTATACTCTGAATTAAGGCATATACTTTGGCCAGCAGGGTAACCACCCTTGGCAGTTTATCTTTTATAGACCAATATTCATATAGAAGCCTATGGATTTCTCAAGAAGGTCTATCCATATTAAATAATACCTCATGGATTTTGTGATGTAATATCTTATGACTCAAAAATTAACGAGGATAGATGTATCATATTTATCATAGAGAAAAACAGATTGCAGTAACCTCCCTTATTTATAAATTTTTTGACACTTTACTCCTAATTTAGATTTAGGGTGTCTGAAGTACAGATAATTGTCAACTAAGGATGACAATGGGGTGGACTGTTCTGGTAAACCCAACTGGATTCAGTTGAGATGACTTTGGGGGTTGGAGTTCAGTAGCCCAACCCTCAGTTGATTCACCTGGTTATTTTGATGCCTGAGTCTTTAATTTAATGTGAAAATTCCTTCTTTTTTTGTTTGTTTGTTTGTTTGTAAATACGAATTTCAAAAATCAATTGCTTGCCGGAAATTTAGGCCAAGGCATGTTGGTCTCAATAAACTTTGGGGAGCTTATAAGATGCCCAGTTCTGAGGTGCCCTTTTCCCATACTTAATAGGGATGGCAAAATAGCCTCCCCGTCCTGTTTAAAACGCCTTTGGAGTCACATTTAGTGGTTTTGGACGAGGACTGGTTTTTATAGTGAAAACCCGCATGAGTGTGTGGCGGGGGAAGGTCACCCTACCACGTCCCATTTTTTAATGCGAAAATACTATTTTACCCTTATACCTTATGTTATATACAAAATTACCCTTATTGTTGGAAGAATGTTAGTGTTTATTTGGTGCAATTGTGAAATTTTAGAACTACTTTTATTTGATTTATATTGTTAAATATGAGTTTTTAAAATTTGAGTGGAAGATTTAGGAAAAAAATTTGAGTGGGAATTTAAATGGGGTGGGGCGGAACTTAAATGGGAAAGGGGAGTTGTTTGCTAAACGGGTATGGATGGGGACAGGAACTTAAACGGGGGTGGGGGTGAGGGTGGGGGTGGGGGTGGGGATGGGGATGGGGATGGGGAAGGACACCCCCGCCTCGTTGCCATCCCTGATTCCTTAACAAGGTCTGTACAACACTGATGAACACATTATCTTAATCGTTTTTAGTCCTTGTATACCTCTCTCTGATCCACCATGCCTCATTTGCCTTGTTTAATATTCTTTTCACTCCATGTAAGAGACGGGACGGGGACGGGAACTCATAAGAGGATTGAGTGCTGACATGGTGACACAGGCTACTTTTAGAACTTCCTGAATAGTTGGCTACTTGTACAAGGACATTGCTGACATGGTGACACAGGCTACTTTTAGAACTTCCTGAATGGTTGGCTACTTGTACAAGGACATTGCACATATTTTTTAACAAGTTAAATTTATTTAAAGAGTAACAAAAATTTGGAGGTGCACAGAAAGTATGCAAGAGAGAACTCAGAAATTCCAAACACTCAACAACAAATATTCTTTGAACATAATAACTGCTTCATTGAAAATCAACAACTGAACTTGGGAGCTGCACCGACCTATGAAAAGGAGAAGGTTTCTGAGCTGCAACTCCCACAGTCCCACCCCTTTCTGAATCAGTCATGCAACTATTCCTCACAATACTTGTGTTATCTATGACAGGCAAAGACTAGTACGTCGTGAAGCATTCTCGGAGGAAGGTTGGAAGAAGATATACTACCTGTCCAACGGGAATGGATCAGAGATGAGGTGGTTGGTTCCTTTTATGCGGTGACCACGGAAGAGAGTTTATTAGACGCAGCTTTTTTGATGCACCACAGACAGAATTGATAGTTAGCTCTCACAACTTTCGGCATTTGGTCCATTCTGTTAAAATAAACCGCGAGACTGCTGTTTTTGGATTCGTAATATTCTAAAAGTGGTCGGTGAGGTCAGGGGCCGGACATACGTTTCACTTGTAACCTAATTGGTTGTAAGCATCTTCTTTCTCCCTGCCAATGGTTGCTTTTTGAAGACAATGTATCATATATAGATTGATTTTTTTGACATTCTATACTGAGACCTGGCAAATTGGCTTCATGTATGCGTCTGTGTGTTTTCTCACTTAATTCATTCTGGTTTACCAATGTTTAGCAACCAGTTCAAGGTCCAATGGAGCTCTATTGCTCTACCACACTATGTATAATCACCTTGTTTGAACTTTATGCAGATCCTCTAATCAATGGGTTATCTTAATTTCCTATGGTATATGCCATTGTTATCTTTAACTGAATTTTTTAAGACAAGGATTTATTTTAAATATATTACCATTAAGATATATTCTTAATAATTGTTATAAAATCAACTTCAAGCTCTCTTTAACAAGCAAGTTAACTGAGTTTTCATAGAACAGTTATTAAAAATTGTCAACTTACCAGATATTTGTATAATTTTTTAATCTTTCAATTTTCAAAAAATAAAAATATTCTTTTTAGAAAACTGAATCAAGTAATCCATCATAATCTTTTTTTATTCAAATTTGCCAGGGATAATATTGTGAGCGTGTAGAGGCAGATAATATTGTGAAAGTATACCTTTAGAGAGAGAATCATTGTGGGTTGACACTGTGAATGTCAAACTAGCCCAGAGACAATAATGTGAGCGTGTAGAAAAGACAATCTTGTGAAGGTATACCTTTATATATATATATATTATATAGAGAGAGAGAACCATTGTGGGTTGACACTATGGATGTTAATCTAACCTCGGACATATTACAAATTATCTTAATCGGGTCAAGGGCAAATTTGATAAAAGAGTTTAAAACTCGCAAAGTTTCAAAATTGTCTTGATTAATAATTATTATATAAATAAATATTATTTTATTAGCTATATTTTTCTTTGTTCTTTATTTTTTATGATAATTTTATATTTTAACAACCTTTTTTTTTGTTATTATTGTTAAATATTCGACAATCCTATGAAAAAATTTATAGTAAGTTTATTGAAGTTTGAATTATTATTTTTAAAAAATATGTATAAGGGGCGCCCCTTCCCGTTCCTAATAATTTAGGTTTGAAAAAATATTTTTATTGATCGGACGAGTTTGAGAAATGAGTGCTCCATTCCGAAGCTGTCTCGATGACGTCCTAATTGACACTAGGCGATAGTAATTGTCAACTTAGCAGAGAAAAAGTACACAGATCCGACGGATCAGAACTCATCAAATTGTATGCAGTGGGTCCCGTATGATCATCTATAAAACTTGAATAACAGGAGAAACTCGGTGCTCCGGACCTGCGAATACTCTCGGTTGGGATTCGAGTCGGGTTTTCGATTGGGGTTATTTCACCGGGGTTACAATCTATCTCTCTCAAAAGTCTCTCTCTTTCTAAAAATTCTCTCTTAAATAGACCACTCGCCGGTGCTCTGGCAGAGTGAAACTTTCGTTTCTCCGGCGACTTACCGCCAAAATATCTGTCCAGGTAAACCCTAATTTCATTTTCAACTTCAAATCATCCAATTCTCTGTTATAGAGATCTCTCTGACAAATTGAATCGTTCTTTCTTAATCCGTAAACTAAATTCATGTTTTTCAAGTCGAATTTAACTCGTTTCCATTTGTAATTGTCGCGATATGCTAAAATAGTTGATTACCGCTTCTATTCATGTTGATTTTAGTATGGAACTGATTTTACATTGTTTTAGTCTGAAAATGTGTTTGTGCAATTGCCTAAAACAGATGATATTTTTGGTTTTATAATGGGTGTTTTGATTGCTATCTCAATAGTTTTGGTCTTTGTCCCGAACCCTCTACGATCACAACTAAGATGGCTGTCTGGGTTCGTATTACTTTTATGTGTCTATAGATGTTGATAATTCTACCCTAATTTTGTTAGTTCACGATTTCCTTTTATTTTATTTTTTAAATTGAAATGATATTTTGACCCTTCCAAGGCCATTTCTCTTTTAATTTTATTGGGAATTTTACCTGAAAACAACCAATCTGCAACCCCATATAGCAACACTGAAGTAGGATTATTTCTGCTCCGATTCAGGTGTGGTGTTCTTTGTATCTTCTCTTTCTCTGAGACCCTTATTTTTTTGGGTCCACTCTTCAGAAACTCAAGAATCCTTGCTTGTCCCTCCCTCTATCCTTTAATTACCCTACCTTCTGCCAATGTTGTGCACCAAAATCAAGGAAATTTGTTATTTTGTCTAATGAAATGGCCGTATCTCTGAGAATGCTTGAGGAACTTTGTCTTCCCTAGATGACTACCAGATATAAACTTTGTGGGAAATGTTAACAGTGGCACAATGGGCATGGTGAAGGAAAATGTAATACACTGACATATCATAAATGGCACTTCATAGCTAGGGAACTCAATGCTTGCCAGTGCATTTTGAAAGCAATGGAAGTCAATATTTTAAAGTTCATGATTGAAAGGGTGATTATGTTCCATAGAGTTTGAAGGCTATTTCTTGAACTAATTTTCTTCATTTCTGATTGCTTACAATGTCTGGTTATTCTTGTGACCTGTACCTTAGAATGCTTCACGAAGTTGTAATTGTTTCATGATTTCATTATCTTTTCAAGGATATAAAGTTAGTTGAACATGATAGCCTTTGGTTTTTTGCATTTCTTATCAATCCCCCCCCTCTCTCTCTCTCTCTCTCTCTCTCCCCCCATATGTAACATTTTTATTGTTAATAGGTCACTGTTTGCTATCGTTGGTGGATAAATGGAACATCCTGAGGATGACAGTCGTGTTGGAGATGGACATCATGGGAAACAAGATGGTGAGGTGAGATTGTTGTATTGACTCTGGTAGTTTATGAGTTGTGACTTGAACACTCAATATCTTACTTGTGCACAATGTAGTTCAGTATAAGGGAGAATAATTGTCATTTTTATAAAAAATAAAGGACGTCCTGAGAGAAGTAGATGTTGCAAGTTAATTAACCAAGTTGTTAGGGAATTTCGCTTGATTTTTTATGCTAAGCAACAATGGTTTGTTTGTTTATTAAATCATATATTCAATTAAACCAATATTAATTTTGAACAAGTATTATTTCTCTCTCTCTCTCTCTATATATATATATATATCACTCAACACACATGATATTGTTGTAGAAAAAGTTTACAGTTAATGTAAGTATTGTTTATTTTTACTTTTTTATGCTTAAATGTAGAGAGTTCTCACTTTCAAGAATTAACTTTGTGAAGACGATTTTTGTTTTTTTGGGGGGCTACAGGAGGCTGTTGCTCGTCTTGAGGAATTTAAGAAATCAGTGGAGGCAAAAATGGCTCTCCGACAGAGTAATTTGAACCCTGAAAGGCCAGGTTGGAGATCTTTTTATTGAACTGAATGTTGTTTGAACAAGATAGTTTTATTTATCATCAAATAATTTATTGTCCTATAGTTTTATTTATTTATTTATACTTTTTTACCAGTAATAATGCATAATTGAACAAGATAAATGTAGGAAACTTTTCTCTGGTATCAAACTATTTGAGTTTTTTTCTTCTTCTTCTATGATCACATGTAGAGGATTGGATTATTCAATTTGGGTTTGTAGGTTGGACATTTATCCCATATTCACAACCACTTTTTGTTGTATCAGCACGGGTATGGTGAGGGGAATAAGAGTCATGTTGTTTTATCATGTGCAGTACAGTACAGTGATTGCATAAGCAAAAGTCCACTTGGTTTGTTTGATCCTGTGCAGTGCATGTTGATGATTAAATCTGTTAAGACTGATTTGAGTTGGAGGTGAAAGTGAAATAGTCAAGGGCAAAACTAAAAAATAATGTAATAGATATCACTATTGGAAAGCTATGCTTGTTAAAAAAATTGAATATCCTGCCTTTTAAAAGTTATTCTTTATACATCATTAATTTGTAGTTCGCTTGTCTGTCTGGGTGATTGTTCACTTCAAAAAAGGGTGGGAACACCCCACCATACAAATCAACAAGGAGAATTTTATTTGTTTATTTAGTGAGTTGAAAGGAAGCTCTGTGCTGTGCTTGTAAAACTTTGGTACTTCCTTTTCATTTACATCCAGCTTTTGTGGAACACACAAATGCACTCGTGTATTTGGTTGATTTTAGTGTTCCCTTTGTAGAGTTGGATAAGCTATCCCAGTTTTAGCAAGATACAAAATGTGATTCTAAACCAAAAGCTTGTAATTTCTTGGCTTAGTTTGATGATATTTTGATTTTTATATAGCGAATTCATATTTACCTTAGTCCTTAGATATTGATATCATGTATTGTTGGTTCCAGACTCAGGATTTCTCAGGACATTAGACTCCAGCATTAGGCGCAACACAGCAGTTATTAAAAAACTTAAACAGATCAATGAAGAACAACGGGAAGGTTTGATGGATGATTTACGAGGTGTCAACTTAAGCAAATTCGTTAGCGAAGCGGTCACAGCTATTTGTGATGCCAAGCTTAGAACTTCAGACATACAAGCCGCAGTTCAGGTAGCTGTTCATTTGTGCTGATTTACTGTGGACAGTACAGCAATCTCTTTCAGTTTTTATTTTTAGTTACCATTTTTCTTCAGTTGATTTAACGTATATATCTTTTAACCAAAGCATGTTGTATAAATTTAAGGTGGTTGTTTTTCTTGTGGGGTTCAACACCACTTGAAAATTAGATTTTTTGCATTTCCAAAGGTCTAATGAAATTGTAATTAAACTCTGGTTGAGCTTATATCCTTGCTTTATATTAGGGCAAATTACACTAGCCTCTCCTAAGGTATGCCCTAACTACATGCCGTAAAATTTTTATTATTGTCAGCCTTCATTATAGTTTCATTGAATTTCAGATTCCTCCGTCATTACTAGGTTGTCATTTTACGTTAATGCAATTTTACTTTAATTCCAGGTATGTCCTTCAGTTCCCTGAAACACCCATACTAAATCAGATGAAACTACACATTTGCCTTAGGACCAAAGTACACCTAACATATCCAGTGTACACAGGACATATAACCTGCAGTATAATATTGAATACTCTCTCCCTTTCTCTGTGTTCTCTCCCCTCTCCCTTCAAGCCGTATGTATTCTTCTTCTTCTTCTTCTCTCTCTCTCTTCTCTCTTTACCTCTGGTGCATACCCTTTTGAACTTTTTCGTTCTAAAACACTGTAATTTCTCTCTAAACTTCTATAGTCTCTCTCCCTAAACTCTCTGTAAAGTCGTTGAGTAGCCATAATACTTGTTGTCGCGCATTGGTGTTATTGTGAAGGAAGAAGCGAAAGGGGGCAGCATGGTCATAGGTGTTGGGGAAGGAAGAAGAGGACAGTGATGCCGAGGGTGAGGAGGGAAATGGTGAAGATTTTGAAGGGGGTAATGCGAGACCCATGGAGACAAATCTAGGATTTTGGGTTCAGACAAGCAATACGAGGAAAGGATTAGCTTGAGTTTAAGGTGAGATCTTGAGGCTTTGGTGGGTGAGTGATCTTGGACTAACACTGAATCCAAATATAAATTATATAACAGAAGATAATACCAGAAGGATAGAAAAGGTAAGATGTCAGTGTGTGTATATATATATATCTGGTATATATTAACATATTTAGGTGTGGCATCCATCAATTAGGAAATAAGAGAGAGAGTAGACTTAGATAGTTTGGGCACATACGCTAGAGCTTTATAGATGTGCCAGTGAGAAGAGGAAGTTTAATTTTCATAGAAGGTAAAGAGACGGAGAGGGTGACCAAAAATAATGTGGGATGAAGTTATTAAAAATGACTTTAAAAAGTTAAACATGGTAGGTGATATGGCGGATAATAGAAAGGATTGGGGACTGAGAATTCATGTGGCCAACCCCATTCATATGGAATAAGGCAAGGATGATGGTGATATTTAGATATTTACGTGTCAATCAAAGAATTCATGTTGTTTTCTACTTGATATCTTGAGCTGTTGGCCAGTCGAATACATAGGAGTTGTATGCACCATGCTCAGATGTATGGTTTGCACCATAGTCAACTACAAATCGGTTTGATTTGGATTTCCTATTTCTTCTTTTAACAGATGGTGTCATACAACAATTTCCTATGGACTAAAAGCTTCAACTCTAAGTTTTTTTTAATCTTTGGATGAAATGGATTTCAAGGTTTAACTACAATTTGTGCTTAGATCAATCAAACACTGAACCTTCTGAGCAAGAATAAGAAGTCGAGAACAAAGCTCTGATTTCTTACAAACCAAAAGTTCAATTTTCAACTTTCTCTCCTTGTTTAGGACAGAGTAAAAGAGGAAAGGAGGTGCCTTTTTTTTTGGGGGTGGGGAGCAATTAGGTAGAGACGTGGCAGATCAACTGGTGGCCATGGAGGGTTGAAGAGGAGGCAACGGAGTTGTGGAAAGATGAGATTGAGAGGGATCTAGGGATGGGAGAGAGAAAGAAGAGATTGAAAGAGATCTGGGAACAATAGATAGATAGATAGATAGATAGAGAGAGAGAGAGAGAGAGATGAACTCCAGATTTTTCTATTTTGGTAGGTACCAACTAATCAAAGTACACGATTTCATTTGATTCGATAGGTTTTAATTTGTTTTACCAGCAAGCATTCTCAAAAAAAAAATTCCATCATCCAGAGAATCTGATAGGTATCAGATTGACTGAACTGATTATTCTGATCTTTTAGTACATATGATCTACTATGTTGGCCTCATCAAATGTGACCACTGATGTTTTTGTGCTGGAATAGCACTGACAAGACAGGATTTTTAGTTCTGGCCAGAAGTGAATCAGTTATAAGAGATTATTTAGGAGACGGAGCCTTGATATTTTTGCTAGCGTGACTTTTTAAACTTTTAGTTTTAATGGATTGTAGTTGATATTTGTTTCATTCTTTAATCTGTTACACATAGAACATAGTTCACGCAAATTGTGTGCGCTGATTTGGTCAGGTATATCCCATTCGTATACCATTGTGAATGCTTTTCATGTGTCAGGTTAATTGCAGATATTTACAGAACACTTAAGGATACATTTATAACTTATCCCTGTGTTTTAATGGCCTACATTGCTGTATCTAACATGCATTCCTTTTTCTTCTTCTTCTTGTTCTTTTTTTTTTTTTTTTTTTCAATTTTCATTTTTACTCCCAAAACAGATTTGTTCTTTGCTTCATCAAAGGTACAAAGACTTCGCACCTAGTTTGATTCAAGGCCTCTTGAAAATATTCTTTCCTGGAAAATCTGGGGATGACTTGGACACCGACAGAAATTCCAGAGCCATGAAGAAGCGAAGCACGTTAAAACTTCTTATGGAACTTTACTTTGTTGGAGTTATAGAAGATTGTGGCATTTTCATTAATATCGTCAAGGATCTTACAGCTGTAGAGCACTTGAAGGACCGAGATGCAACTCAAACTAATCTGTCACTTCTTGCTAGTTTTGCGCGACAAGCGAGATATTTCCTTGGACTCCCTCAGTCTGGACAAGAAGTTCTTGAAGAGGTGCAACTTCCTTGTGATCTTTTCAATGACTAATTACTACACTAATCTTACATATTTGCTATGCACGTCTTTCTTGCCTCTCTATTGAGATTTCTAATCAATTCTTCTGATCATCTTATTAGGAAATATTTGGCTTACGTAATAGTTGTTGTGTCAGTTCAGTAGTTGTTTTTCCTGTACTGTTGAAGTGTGGTTAGCAGTTGTATAATTCAACTATGGGGATTACACAAAATTCATAGCAATGCTTTTCAAATTAAATCTGAGTTCATGGGTATCTTACAATTCCCTTTTCTTAAAACTGATATCAGCCTTTGTACAAATGTTTGTGATTTTTGAAGGTTCTCGTAATTGGTTACAAATACACTTTGGAAATCGAAGGCTTGTGAGAGCATTAAGCAACGCATTGTTTAACTGCAAATATATATTCCAATTTTCTATTGTAACTTGTGGCTGTTTGGTCTTTGACACTGTTGTGAGGAAGAAGTGGTGGGAAGGGAAATAAGATAAGTAGGGAGGAAACCAATTATCCCTTGTTTGGGAGTTTTATATGAATAAGGGAAGTAGGAGAAAATGAACACCTCTAACTTCACTCCTTTTTTTTTTTTTTTTGATAAGTAAAAATGTATTAGAAAGAGTTCAAAAGGGGAACGCTTCCCAAGAGCTGTACAAAAACCAAAAAAGAGAAAGGGGATAACTTCACTCCTTTTTTATTCTCCAAAAAGGGAAAGAAATGGAAATTGAGTTATTTATGCTTCATTTTATCTTAGATTTCATATTTTACCCTTCTAACATAAGAAAACACTGATTCTTTTTCTTTTTTGTTGTTATAAACTCCCAAAGAAGACCCTTCCCTTCCAGTGATGGAGCTAGGAATTTATTTCGGGGAGAAGGCACATTGAACATCATAAAATATATATTTTTCCAACAGTGCAACAAGTTAGCAACGATGCAATAATCAAGGTTCAAACAATTTGTCCATATTCACAAAAATTTACATTAAAGAAAAATTCAGAAACATAAAATACTGCCATTAAGTTCATAAAATTGTAATTATAAATTTTAAGAATAAGAAGAGACAAAAATAATAATAAGAAGGAGAAAAAAAAAAGTTACTGCACATATACATCAGTGCATTTTTTAAGGGAATCAAAGAAATTTGTAGAAGAAGAGTAAAAGAGAAAAAAAAAACAAGACAGACTTAGAGAAATTTTTAGAATTGGAAAATTTTAGGGGGCATTTTGTAAAATATAACAAAATTAAATACAAAAGATTATAAATATAAAAACAAAATGAATTGATAGGGCCAGCTGCCCCCCCTGAACCTATGGTGGCTCGTTCTCTATTCCCTTCCCTTCCTTTCCTAAAACTCCCAAATGAAGGGACAAATTGTCACCTTCTCTTCATTTCTTTTCTCCACTTAAAGGATAAGAACTGTTGTCTCTTTTGTTTTCTTATCTCTTTAAAACTTACTAACAAAGTGGGAACAAATGTCTTGCCATTTTTTCCCTCCTTTTCTAAAGTAACTGATTGAGCTGCCATATGTTACAGCTTTTTAAGGGCCTTAATATCACAGCAGATCAGAAGAAATTCTTCAAAAAGGCATTTCATACATATCATGATGCAGCTGCAGAACTACTTCAGTCAGAATATAATGTAAGATTAAGCTACCTTTACAAAAGTTTGCTTTCATGTCAGGTGCAGATTTTAAAGCTTTGTTGATCAATCTTACGTCATGAACCCATCCTTTTTTGGATGAAGAATCTGTTCTCTTTCCGTTTATGTTATTGTATTTCTGAATTGTTTTAACTGACGAAACTGGTTTTTCCTGAACCAAAGTCACTTCGTCAAATGGAGCATGAAAATGCAAAGATTCTAAATGCTAAAGGTGAGCTCAGCGAAGAAAATGCTTCTTCGTATGAAAAGCTGCGAAAATCCTACGACCAACTGTACCGTGGTGTATCAACGTAAGTTAATTTAAAATTGTCTTCACAGAATTTTTTCAGGTTCTCATGTTGCTATTATTATCATTATTATTTCCTTGGCAAGAAACTTTGACGCCATTTGTCCCTATGGGTACCTGAACCCTCACCTTCCACTTTGGGTGGTAGAGGAGATACCTTTGGTAGTTGTCAAATTTTTATAAATTAACATAAAAATCAATAATGGTATAGAATGTTTAATATGGAACTTCACTTGTTTGTAGCAATAATGTAATAAAATAAATTCATCTTTTTTTTTTTTTTGGGGTACAATTAAGTAATAATCTTGAGTTACTAGACATGTTAGACACATATCCAATGCCCATATCCTTACCATGTGCTGACACGGATACTTCATGTATTTGGAGAACTCTACATAACTTAGCTCTGGCTTCCCTGGATATGGACAAATATGGAATGTTCCATCTGTATAGGGATTATATTGTTTGATCATGTTTTCTATTATCTTGTCTGGAATGGCTTGAGTCTTATTATTTAGGAAGTTCTTGATTTACAGGAGTTCTTTTATGTATGGAGAGGTTTTCAGTGATGGTGTCCAATAATCTTTAGAGACTATTCAACATATTGTTTATAGGAATAATCTGCATGTTCTGCATTTGAATTTTCATTTAACCTTTTCTCCTTTTGGGTTGTTTAATGTTGTTGTGTCCTGACCCACTCTGTTTGACATTAGGTTTCTGATTAGTTTGCATGGAGATTTTCCTTTCTCGGTTTCCCCATTTTTTTTCTAGGTTGCATTTTTTTGATAAGTAATAATTTAATAAAAGGCTTTCAAAAGGGGAACGCATCCCTTATACAAAAGTGGTGCATTTCCCGTGTCATATATCGTTTTTACTTCTTCAGTGTTACTCGCATTTGTGATCATGTTTCTTGAATATCTTCTGTTTCTTCTTTTCTATCTGCTGCTATCTTATCTTGTGTATTTACCTTATGATTCTTTTTTTATAACTTGTTTTTTTTTATTACTCTAATTCTTTTGAATTCTTTATATGGCAGTTTAGCAGAAGCACTTGATATGCAACCTCCTGTGATGCCAGAGGATGGTCACACAACGAGGATCACAACTGGGGAGGATGCAACGTCTACTGGTGCAGGAAAAGATTCTTCTGTTCTTGAAGCCATGTGGGATGATGAAGATACGAGGGCTTTTTATGAATGCTTACCAGATCTCAGGTTCGTTTGATTGGAACTATTTAGATAAGGGATAATTGCATATGTTCAACATGAGAGCATGTTTGTTGATCAAATAGTCTTCTAGGTCGTGGTCACTTAACATGCAGTTCTCCCATGTTTATATGCTCTCTTTTTTCCAGAGCATTTGTTCCTGCAGTATTACTGGGAGAAGCAGAACCCAAGGTGAACGATCAATCTCCAAAGACACAAGAGCAATCAACTGTAAGGGATTAGTTTACTGTTTTCATTATAGGGTTAAAACTTTTGTTTAGGCACTTGTGACTTTCTACAATAAATTGCTGGTTTTATTTATTTATTTTTTTATTTTGAAAACTATTTGCTTATTTGTTACGAATCGTTACAAATCACTTCTGAATACTTCTAGGATGTTATCTATGTTTCTCCTATTTACCAACCTCCTAGGGCCATCCTTACAATTATGGCACAGGATGATATGAGGTGCTCAGTATCCGTATAACTATAGAACATATATCATGAAAGTTGTATATTTAAGTATATGATCTTGAATTCATTAAGTTCTTACTGAACTTTTTCTTTCTATTTACTTATTGTGGGCATCTTCTGTACAAAGGATTTGTCACCTGAATCAGACCAAGTTCAGGTGGGTACTCAAGATACTGCAGAAGTTTCTGCAGATTCTGGAGCTTTGAAGGATGGAAAAAATGAGAAAGGGAAGGATAAAGATGAAAAAGATAAAGAGAAGCTCAAAGATCCAGACAAAGAGAAAGGAAAAGAAAAGGATGCTGATAGAAAAGCTGAAAGTGAGAAGGAGAAACTTAAAGGTCTTGAGGGAACTAATCTAGATGCTTTACTGCAAAGGCTTCCGGGTTCTGTGAGCCGTGACCTGATTGATCAGTTGACTGTAATCACACTTTTTCTTGCCTAAGCTTTAATTTTCTATACTATATTTCTTTTAATTAATGTATTGTGCTTCTCCAGTGAAGATCTTATCATCTTTTATTAATATATTATCTTTATTCCAGGTAGAATTTTGTTATTTAAATTCAAAGTCCAGCCGGAAAAAGCTTGTGAGGGCATTGTTTAATGTTCCCAGGACATCTCTAGAACTTTTGGCATACTACTCACGCATGGTTGCTACACTGTCAACTTGTATGAAGGATGTTTCTTCCATGCTCTTACAGCTGCTGGAGGAGGAGTTCAACTTTTTAATAAATAAGAAGGTCTAAATAACATCTCAATTTCTGTTGCTGTGAAAATATGAATTGACTGCTTTTCAACTTTGTATTATATTTTAAATTGTTATGCGGCTAAATTGATGTGACATTCACAGACAACTGTACCTTTTGTTGCAGGATCAAATGAACATTGAAACAAAGATCAGAAATATTCGATTTATTGGAGAACTCTGCAAGTTTAAAGTTGCACCTGCTGGCCTTGTTTTCAGTTGTCTGAAGGTATGATGGAGAGTAGTCTATCAATAAATGATTTTCTGGTACTGTTGCTTAATTGGGTGGTATTTTATCTTTGAATTTTGAACGACTGTTAAACAAATTTATGGATGCATTGCCTATTTATCTCTCTATCTCTTTTTGTTTTCCCGGACCAGAGCAACATTTATTTGACCCACACTGCACATTTGTGCTAGTAAAAGAGCAAATTTTGTGATATTTTTGTTTGTTTTCAACTATAAGATCTACTTATTTTACGTATTTATTTCACTTAAGCTTGCTATCTGATTGACTGAAGTTCATTTTAAAATCAATATGAATGTTCATGCGGTTCATTGAAATTTGATAGAGAAATTTACCTTTAGTGTACTCTCTTTACTTATAGTACTGTATTCTCCTTTTATCAGGCTTGTTTAGATGATTTTACTCATCATAACATTGACGTAGCTTGCAATCTTCTTGAGACTTGCGGCCGTTTCCTTTACCGGTCTCCTGAAACTACTGTGCGCATGGCCAACATGCTGGAGATATTGATGCGCTTAAAAAATGTAAAAAATTTGGATCCTCGTCATAGTACCCTTGTAGAAAATGCTTATTACCTGTGTAAACCACCAGAAAAATCTGCACGAGTCTCGAAAGTCCGTCCTCCATTGCATCAGGTATTGATCTTGTTCTGGTTGATCAGGTGTTGATCTTGTTCTGGTTGAATAAATTTACTGTCTCATTTGATTTATGTGAATAATCAGCTTTCTCTTTGATGAATCCTGCAGTATATTAGAAAACTACTTTTCTCAGATCTTGATAAGTCTTCCATTGAGCATGTGCTGAGACAACTTCGTAAACTGCCATGGAGTGAATGTGAGCCCTACCTTTTAAAATGCTTTCTGAAAGTTCACAGAGGAAAATATGGTCAGATTCATCTGCTTGCTTCACTTACAACTGGTCTGAGTCGCTATCATGATGAATTTGCAGTAGCTGTTGTTGACGAGGTTGGTTTCTTTCTTTCCTTCTCCCTCCCCCCTTCTTCAGTATCAATCATATTAGTTGATTCCTGATAAACATGATTTTGATAGTAGAAAATGAGAATGATATCGTTCTTTCTAAAGCATTCTGCTAAGTGGTGTGATTGCCATTTCTTAGGCTCTGCAAATTTTAGTTTCATGAATAGTTAGTAATATGAATGCCTACCACGAGGCAAGCTGGCACCACCATTCCAGTCAGTTATTCATGGACGTGTTTGGAAGCTTTACCTTTTACCCAAATTGGGCTAGCATGATCATGGCATGGGGCAATCTGGCTGTAATAACCTAGTGCTGTAATTGTCTTGTATATCCTTTGAACTTTAGCCGTTGGATCTTGTGATTGTGCCTTAATTCATGGAAATATGGTAGTGAACTCATTTAAATAAATGTAAACCCTATCTGAGTTTCAGACTTAAATCAATTTTTATTGATTTTGTTTGTAAAGGTGTTCAAAATGTTATGCTTTTTGTTCCTCAGTTATAATGCTTGCGCCTTATTTCACATTTCAGAAGTTTGCAACTGGCATTCATTTTGATGGTCTCTAGATGAGTTTGGTGAAACTACAACAAGATATGTTGTTTACTTTCAGGTTTTGGAGGAAATTAGGCTGGGATTAGAATTGAATGACTATGGGATGCAGCAACGACGCATTGCCCACATGCGGTTCTTAGGGGAGCTATACAACTATGAACATGTGGATTCATCTGTTATTTTTGATACACTCTATTTAGTACTCCTTTTTGGCCATGGGACAGCGGAGGTATGGATTTGTATCTTTTATATGATCTTGAACGTATAGTCAGCACGTGTTTCCTAGATAGATCAAAACTCATTATGCAAGCATGTCCTGGTCTCTTAGATGGTATCCGGGTTTCAAATGTATTTTTAAATATGGTTTGATCACGTTTTCTGATTTACAATGATAAGAATTGAACCTAAACTATCATTCCCTTTTATCTGCCATGTTGAACATTTCACCACGTGCTACAATTTCTTTGTCAATTTCGTTCGATCACATATATCTATCCAATTATTGATACATACAAGAATTCAAGAAGGGAGATTAATGTACCTTGAGTTTTGACTTGTGGAATTCTTTCATACCTAGTTGTGAAAATCTAAAATTAAGCTCATGACAGACTGAACTATGGACATCACATTTTGAATTTCAAGTTCTGCAGAAAATAAGTCATCATGCATTTATGTCAAAGAAATGCAACTATCAATTTTGAACTCAAAGAGAACTTGGATCGTTATATATATATATATATTCGGTAAGGAACTGGGATCAATATTTGGTGGAGTCTTGGGAATAAGTAATTTGGACTACTTATCTGCTGTGTTAAATTATTAAAACTTTGTCTAGAGCTTAACTTTTGCAAATATGACATTTCAAAAATGTTGTTGTAGATGGATTGCTAATTCTGCACTTTATAGCCATCATTAGCGAGTCCCAGTTTTTTTAATACAGAAATGCCCTAATCAGGATCCTGTCAACAGTGATCCAGTTGATAACATTTTGGTTACCACTGGTTTTTACTCTTGTCAAATAAAAGAAACCCATTGAAAATCATATTTCCTTTGAACTTCTTCAAACGCCTTGAATTCCTCACCAGATACTGCTCCTGGTGGTACTTCAGAACTTCTTCCTTTTGATACAACCTTGTATTCAAGCAATAATTGTACAATAGTTGCTAAAAGTGAAATTGGATCAGTTAGGCAGGTTTGCCTAACTGGAATCTGAGCAACGAGCTGTATTTCTGTGATCTGAAAATAGCAGTGGTAGGTCTAGTGCAGAAAATGGTTTGGCGAGGTATGCAGACTATGGTGGCTATTATTGAACTGCCCCTTAAGTCTATTGCAGCATATCATGAAGTTTTTTATGCTTGAAACCACCATAGGAATGGTAGAAAATGCACCTTTATTGGTTTTAATGAAGTTTTGTGGGTCCTTTGAGTACATTAATGTTCGGCCCTCAATTGAATTTTTTATTATCTTATCATTTTTCAAAAATCATCTGCCCTCACTTGAAATTTTTTTGAGCTCTGCCACTGTTCTGATGTTTTGTTACTACATCATGCATGCAAGAAGTTGCTTATTAGGAACCTTTGAAATGAAAACCAAGTGATATTTAATATCTACTTCAGTGTTCTTGGTCATTAAATAATGAGCTTCAATGGTACATTTTTGCTTGAAAACTAAATTTCACTTTGTTATGGGGCAATTGGAAAATCATATGAATATAAAATCACACAATTAGTTTTAAGGTGCATTTATTTAATTATATTTATGTATTTTAACTGGTGTCTTGACCTAGTGGTAACTAGTAATTTAAGAGCTACTATTGAGCAAAAACTCGGGTTCAGACTTTATTGCCCATGAGAAAAAATCTTTTATTTTGTACCATGTAACTGGATTTCTAGCCATGTTGGATGAACTCTCAGAAATGCATAATTACCCATGTTTTAGATATGACATATGGACATGGATACGGGATATGTGCCCAATACATTTGTTCGGTAATGCACCTAATATTAAGAACCATATTTGTATGTTTATTCGGTTGCAGTTTGGCATCAAATTGAGTGAAGGGACTATGTTGAACACTTCTTTGCAATGGAAGATATGATATTACCCTTGAAATTGAAAGGAGAAGATTAAACATATTTATATCGAGCCATGTATCTAAGTCCTTGTTTTTCAGAAAATGAAAAGTCCAATGCATGGACACATACCTGAACCTGACTCATACTCGAGTACATGTAACATAGATTTTTAGCGACATTTCATTTTTTTAGTATGGGTTGTGCATGACTGTTTACCAACTTTTGTGGGCTTGCTGATTCCCCTTGTGATGCATTTTTGGCTTTCATGTTGTTAGCAAGATACGTTGGATCCACCAGAAGATTGTTTCCGCATCAGGATGGTTACCACACTTCTTGAAACCTGTGGGCACTATTTTGATCGAGGTTCTTCAAAGAGGAAGCTCAACCGATTTCTGATTCATTTCCAGAGGTACATACTCAGCAAAAGTCCATTACCTCTGGATATTGAATTTGACTTGCAGGTGAGTTCTCCCAGATCTTTGTCTCTTTCTTTTTATATTTATTTTAAATATTGAAGATCTTGAATAAATGTAAGAGGCCACGCTTTGCAACTTAGATCTTGTATAATGTAATAAAAGATGTTGATGGGTAAAACTTACTTCCCTATTGATAATTGTGCTTGAAATTTTGGTCAGGATGTTGGAGGTCAATTAAGAACTACTACTACATCTTTTGCTAATTTGTTCATAATTGAAAATCAAGTTGATAGATTGATGACGTCATTCTAATGTTCTTTGAGATTTTTACGTAACAGATTTGACATTAATCGATGGGAAAACTACTGAAAATATAAGAAAAATTAGCTATACAATAATGTAAATTGTGTATTCTAGTGCAAAAAATGGAGTAGTTTCCCCCCGCCCTTCTTTCTTGGGCTTTATTGCGATCATCCATTGGAGCTGAATCAGTTGGTAATGGAGAGTTCTGAAAGGAGGCTGTCAAGGTATTTTTTTAAAGGTAGGGGGTCATTTTTACCAGAAATGATTTTTGTAGACTACATGCTTCATTTCTGTATTCACTATTCTTGTGTCCATTTCAAGACAGTTGGAGAAGTTGCAGAAGGATTTCTTCTGGGGAGGTTTGGGAGATGAGTCCAAATATAATCTAGTTGAGTGAAAGACAGATTTTACTCTTGCCAGCAGAGTCTAGGATATTTAAGGAATTAAATCACATTCTATCAGGGATGTGGTTATAGAGATCTTCCTTAGGGTGACATTTCCTGGAATAGGAAATGTCTAAGATGGGACTGCGTACAGTGGAGGTGAATAGCCTACACGATGTTGGTACTTGGGGAACTGGCCATTCAGGATGAGAGGAATAGTAGGATACATCCAACTTATGGTGGGACATGGTGACAGATGGAGGTTCTTGCAGGACCTTTGGCATGACAAGGTCCCTTAGGGATTCAAGGTGTTGTGTCTTGGGACATTGATTTTAGGAGACAGGTTGGTGAGGAGGACATCAAGGCTATAGTGGGATTGAGGGTGGAGGTTGGAGGGACATCTCTTTTAGGAGGCGGATTATGATAATGAAGGTGTTCTATATGGAGTCGTCGGCTTGAGGGTAGAGTTAGAAAAGGTGGGGTGGCTACATCAACATTTGGAAAGTTTGATTTCAAATCTTGTTACAGGGTTGCTACAAGCTTTAGGGAGGATACTTCTGAATTAAGAGTTTCCGGCGAGGCTTTTTTACATGGTCCGCAGCTCTGGGGAAGATCTTTATAATTGATAACCTAGTCAGAAGGGAATAATTTTATTCCTAGTTGGTGTTGCATATGCGAACGGGCAGTGGAGTCAGTAAATTACCTTCTCATCTTCTTTGGAGTGATTAGATGGCTTTTGATGCTGTTGCATTTGTTTGGGTGGTATGGGTGTTCTGCAACTTGGTGGTCCAGTTCCTTTCTGGAGTGGAGGTTACTGGTAAGAGATTACCATCTCTCTACCCCATTTTGTTTTTTAATGGGCTACATTTGGAGGGAGTGGAATACTGTCTTTTGGAGGAGAGCCTACTCATAGATTCTAGAGCTATTCTTGAGTCTCTTGCTTAGACATCATGGAAGCTGAATCTTTCCTTTGAGGCGGATAACAGGGATGTGTTTTTTGGAAATCTTTATAGGTCTCTAGCCTCTCTCGTATGCGCTCTATGTACATGCATGCATATATGTATGTGTATATATATGTATATTATATAGACTACAAAAATAAAAAGAAAATTCAAAAATTATGTGGAACCAAGTTTGGGAAAGGATTGTGTGTTTAGAGCGTGCTAGCCATGCAAAAGATTAGCTGCATATTTCAGAATGGTGTGGGTGTTCTGCAACTTTTTTAAAAAATGGGCTGCATTTATAATATAACCGTATCTATATTATAAACATATAAATATGGTTGTAATAGATTCTCCCCTTGCTCTATTTTTGGCAGCCTTTGCAGCCGATTTCCTACAGACCTATGTTTGTGGGCCTTCAGCTGAAATTTATTCACAAATGCCATGTGCACACATGTGATCCACAGGGATGCACATGAACCTGCTTATAGGTGCATGTAAACACACGAAGCTGCTTCCTGCGTGTGTGCATATCGGTAAGATATATACACAAGAGATTGACAAGGAAATTGGGCCTTCATATTTATTAAAGTAAAAGTTGGAAAACGAATGTAAAAGTTGGACTCAATTGAGTAGAGAACTCTTTGAACAAAAAGAAAAAAGAGAGAAGAAAAACAGATTGAAAAATGTGATGCATTACAGCCTTCATTTGGAATAACACAAGAATGATGATGAAGATGCATTACAGACCTTGTAAAGTCTAGACTTATAAAGTATATTAGGAAACCACTATATACATAAATTATAGCATGGCCTCTCCTATATCAGTCATTGCCAGATTGAATCCAAGCACAAGTAGAAATATGGGTCAAACTTGATGCTATCATTTTATAACTTAGTTGTAGAGTTTGAGTTCCCATTCTATTATGATTTCCATCAAATCCTCGTGAGGCAATTTGTTCACCAAATGCGAATATGCAGTCAAATAATTCTTCTGCTTGCCTCAGCTACATTTTCCCATGAATTTGCTTTGGATTTTATTTATTTATTATGATTATTGTTATTATTTGTTGTGAATTATCTTCAAGGATGACCGTCAAGCTTGTAATAGAAAAAAATGGAAAAAGAGGATTCATGTCACCGACTTCATTAATATGGGATTAAGGCAAGGGTGACGGTGATGTTGCTTAGGATGACCATCAAGCTTTGTATGGACTCTTCTCCGGCTCCCGAAGGGGTCAAGGGTTCAAGTCCCAATGTGATAAAGTGGGTATAGGAGTGTGTCTTAGCTTTGAAAGAAAATAAATAAATAAAAAAATTCTGGAAGGAAGATGACACTGAAATTATTCAGTAATCAAATTGAACTTCCATGATTTTCTAGGAAACTTGGAATTGTTCTAACTAGTTCAAATTGTTGGTTTTCCAAATCTTATTGGATTGCTAGAGAAGTTGAGCTTGAGTTGTTAAAAGAGATGATTTACTTTCTTTTTCCTTTTCCTTTTGCTGGCTTTGTTTCTTTGTTTCTTTATTTATTTTTTTCAAGAACCAGTCTTTATTCTTCACATTTAGAAATTGAAGGATCATCTCCATTTTTTTATTTTTGTTTGTCATCCATCTTTGTGTAATATAGTATTCTTATAAATTGAAACATGTGCAGGACTTATTTGCAGATTTACGACCCAACATGGCACGGTATTCGTCCATTGAAGAAGTTAATATGGCTCTAATTGAACTTGAGGAGCATGAACGGACAGTTTCAACTGATAAGGCCAACAGTGAGAAGCACTCAGACACAGAAAAACCTCCAAGCAGGAGTACTTCTGGCAGCATCTCTATCAATGGACAAAACCTTGCAAATGGTATTGAGGAAAATGGTGGTGTGCATGAGGTCATAGTGGACAGGGACAGTGACAGTGACTCTGGTAGTGGCACCATTGACCCAGATGGTCACGATGATGAAGAAGAGTTAGATGAAGATAATCGTGATGATGGGTCCGACAGTGAGGATGATTACGATGATGGGGGTGGACCTGCTTCTGATGATGATGATGAAGTCCACGTCAGGCAGAAGGTGACACAGGTGGATCCACAGGAGGAAGCTGACTTTGACCGAGAACTTAGGGCTCTAATGCAGGCAAGTTTTAAACTTCTGGTGTATCTATCAAAAATTTATTCTTATTACATGCTGAATGCAGTCACTTAGATGTTTCTAATGAGCAAGGAAAAAGAAGAGTTTAGATTTGTTGGCCGGATCTCATATTTTTTAACTTCCCTTTCCATGCTTAGTGTACAACAGGATTTGGTCTCTACAGTAACTCTGTTAACAATCGTTGTTAAAGTTGTATTTCTTTTTTCCCCACATAAACATTGTTAAAATTGTAATTCTTTCTATATGCAATGATGTTTGAGGGTTACAACTGGATTAATGCCCTATTGTTTAAACTATGAGTGCAGGAGAGCTTGGATTCAAGAAAGCTGGAATTGCGTTCCCGCCCAACATTAAACATGATGATACCAATGAATGTGTTTGAGGGTCCTACCAAGGATCATCATGGAAGGGGGATTGATGGGGAGAGTGGCGACGAGACACTGGATGAAGAGGCTGGAGGAAGCAAGGAGGTTCAGGTGAAAGTTCTTGTGAAGCGTGGGAACAAGCAACAAACAAAGCAGATGTACATTCCTAGGGATTGCTCACTTGTGCAGAGCACAAAACTGAAGGAAGCAGCTGAGCTTGAAGAGAAGCAAGACATCAAAAGACTGGTGTTGGAGTATAACGATAGAGAAGAGGAGGAGCTTAATGGGTTGGGTACCCAGCCAACAGGCTGGACACAAAGTGGTAGCAGCAGAGTCGCCAATCGGGGCCACACATGGGACGGACATGGTGGGAGAACTGCTGGATCACGTCACCGTCATCAGTATTATTCGAGTGGTGGACTTTATAATAGCAGGAGAAGATAAAAGTAATATCATTAACTTGCCAAAGCTAGAGAGATGCCATCTGCCCCTAAGCTCGCCCTCACTCTTCAACCCAATACAAGATTGATCAAGATCCATGCTATATACACAAAGTTGGTCGCAAAATGTTATGAACCTCTGATGGTGTGGAGAAAAGGAGCCGAATACTGACCTTTTTTTTTCCTTCTCTTTCATGATATATTAGTAAGCTTAGAATTCAAGTTGATCTGTTGCTATGGCGGTGTAGGAATTTGGAAAATGAAGACAGAGAAGGGTTGTTATATATATATATATATATACATATATTGAGCTATGTAGTGGGGAATTTCAGAGATGTATGGGGTCCTAAATTTTTTCAGGTCTTGAACTCCGTGAATCAATCTACACCAATGTATATTTTGTCAATATATGAAGAAAGTATGCGAATTTTATGTGAAGTGCGTGCTTGTGAGTTGTGAAACTGTTTTGCTTGGAAATAGAAGTTACAGGGTTTGATACGACAGAAAATTATAGGCCCAGCCTACCAGGTTAATGAATAAAGGAATAGAGAATCTGATTCTCACAAGCTATTATTTGAAATTAATGAGTCTAACCGCCATCTTCAGTAGCATGAATCCCTTGGGGCCACCCCTAGGGAATATTCCGGTACTTGTCCTGTGCATGTGAGATGGTGTGACCCCAAGGGAATATTCGGGTAATTGTCCAGGACTGCACCTGACGCTGAAGATGGGGGACTGAGTGCATGTGAGACGGGGGACTGCTCCCGACACTGAAGATGGCGGACTGTCACCGGACAATTTCAATTTTAAGGTGCCGATTCTGTTGGGTGCCTACTGGTTGGAGTATGAAAATAACTATGTTGTGAAAATAATGTGGATGAAGTTGAGAGAATAATTTGAGTAAGAATTTGGTTCTCCAAAGGTGCGAGTGTAAGCAAAACAAATATATGAATTTGTATGCAGATAGGAATATAGTGTGTGCCACAAGAGGTACATATGTAGGACCCAATTTTTTTTATCTCGGATGTAAATGATTAACATCGCTTTATTCTATACTAAGTGTGTCATCCAAGCATTTTGGAACATCTTCACTTTACTCCACATGATTCATGCTCACTCATTATATATATATATATATATATATATATATATATATATATATATTAGTAATATTACAAACATGGACAAATTACTGATAGAACAAAACTAATAGTTGTGACATTTTATTTATTTATCTTTAAAAGTATTTTCTTGACTATATATTGTAACAAATAAATAACAATAATAAAAACTAATAGGAGTCCACAGAATTCGGTTTGGTTGGTTCTGAGATCAGAATTAAAACCTTCATAACAGTCCTAAAAATACTGCTATGTTTGGTTGGAGGGAAGGATTGAGGGGGGATGGATGAGAGGAGGGATGGATAAATATTTTCGTGTTTGGTTGGAGGGAAGGGAAGAGAAGGAGGAAACATTCATCCCTCCTTCCTTTATGTTTTTCTATCCGCCCACTTTTGGGGGGAAGGAATGAGAGAAAGAAGGCATAACTACCTATGAATTGGTAATTTACAATTTTAACCTTTTCAAAAATTTTGAAATAAATATCTACCTTTTATAATTTTATATAAAAGGGTATATTGGTAAAAATAATATAAGAACTCTCCTTCCCTTCCTTCCAACCAAATAAGAAAAAAGTATCACTCCATTCATCCTTTCTATTATCCATTACATTCAACCAAACATAAAATGGGAAAGACACCCTCTCTTTCCTAGGGATATCTCATCCATCCTTCCTCCTATCTCTTCCATCTATTTTTCCATCCTTCCAACCAAACGAAGCATAAGGTTGAACTCAATTCCATTTGAAGTAGTGGAATCGTAAATTCGCTCTTTTTGAATTTCAAATTGGAATCGAACCTAATCAACAATTCTTTAACAGAACCATTTCTTTATAGAACTGGATCAAACCATATAGTTGGATTTACCGGTCTATAGAACTGGATCAAACCATAAGTGACTAAATAAATTAAGGCCCAACAAGAAAGTGCTACAATAGTCTCTGCAGGGTAGAAGAATATAAGGTCCATATATCATATTTGGTGTATTGAGGCGCTGATGAAATGAAGAAGGGATATTTTGGTCAATTAATCAAAAAGTGGGACTAAAACAAAAGGAAAGTAAAGAAATGGTTTTTGGCGCGAAGTGAGATGAATTAACCACCTGTCTCAGTACAATTAGAGGCATCAAAACCTCGTACCCCTACCGACAAGTCAACATAATATTTTAATTTTGCATAGAACAATGATAGGGAATCAGGCGCATCGATTCATTTTATTAGAGTAAGGACTCATATTATTGATATGACTGACAATAGGGCACATCATAATGTCATCAATAGATTATGGATATTAATGATATCATGATAATGTAAGTTTTTACCAGACAGATCTAAAAATGCATGACAAGGTGGGCTAGTCTATTTTGAAATCAGCTAATATTACTATTTTTTTTTTTTTTTTTTTTTAAACTGTGGTAAAATTACTTCAGTCTTTTTCTCAACTACTCAAGCCTACTAGAGTCTAGATTCGCCAATGGTCCTAACTCAAATAAATCAGTTAGAATTGTTCGATTTTCGAACCAAAGAATGTTATAATATTGTCAATCTTTATTTACATAAGTTAGTCAAAATTATTCGATTTTTAAACTTCAAATCGTTAACCTTTTAAGCTCATTAATATATAAATATAATGTAATAGTAGTATCTAATATTAATATAAATAATAGTAGTATAATAATATATAACTCCTTAATCATTAGCCCACTTGCAGAGAGGGCAGAACCCAACTTTTATTAGAAACCGCATATCTTCATGGTCATATGCTTTTCATATCTCATAGGAGTATATTAAAATAATAATATAAATAATGTCCAAGTCACTTTTGGGAGATAGGAGTTCTTTAAATAATGTTAGTATATAACATAAATTATGTTTGTTTGGTGAAGTCAGAATCCGATGCAATAGAGTATTATTACTTTTTTGGACAGTCTAGATTCAACCACGTAGCTCATTGCTTTATTTTATGACATAAAATCCTTCACGACTAACAACTTTTGGTCGTTTCATTTTATATTCTTTCTCGGAAATTAAGTCACATTATTATTTTAAATAAGTGGTGTCTTTATTTTTTGTTCGTTGTTTTTTTATTTTTCATTTTGTAAATGTTCTTGCTCTCGAATTTACTATGCATAACCTATATTTCGTCATTTTTACACTCTTGTATCCTCTCGGTGTGACTTAGGGCATGAGGTATAGCTTCAATTGAGTTTCGGGATGTAAGCTTTAAAAAGAAAAAAAAAAATTGAATTATTTATTTTGAGTTAGATGTTTAAAGAAAAATTATATTTTTCAATTTTAAAAACATCGCATGGGCACTTTTTATCTGTAATTAGATAAAATAAATAAATAAAAATTCTTACAATTTCAAATCTAAGGTCGGCAATTCAATGCTCCCAAATATAGTATTAGAATTCCTAACTGAAATGGGATAAAAAAAGTTAAGGTGTTTTGTCCGTCTTCTCTAGATGGTTTCCATTAATAAAAAATTAAATAAATAGATAAAAGAGTTTTATAATTTGAAAATCATTCCTTATGCAATTAAAAATATATATACATCTAAGCTTTCTCTTATTGCTCTTTGCCGAGGAACCACGTGGCATTTGATGATTGGCAAGATAAGGATGGAGTTGAGATATTGTGTTACACTAGCACTTGGGTCCCACATAACTCAACTGTGATGGTAACGAGTCAGTATTCGATATCAATTCCCCAGTTTTGATTTGGCAAACCCAGTCACTGTTCGAATTGAGCCGGTTCCATTTTAGCCAACTCACTCATTTCTTGTCAGGTTACTCGTCTAAAATATATATATATATATAAACACTAATAAATTTTTTGATGAATAGTTATAATTTTATTTATTCCAAGAAAATAGTATAAACAATTTATAAATTACTCATTCTTAAGCATAAATAAGGGTCTGCGTACTTATTATTTCTTAGAAATCAATTTAAAGAAAATAGTTTTAAAGAAGTGAATGGGGTCTTTTCTAACTTTGTTTTAGAAGAATGGTTTTCGGGCACCAATTTTAAATTATTTTCTAATTTTTATTAGTTTATAAAAAGAAAGTTTTTGTTTGACCTAGATTAATAAAAGCATTACTTAAAAAATGTACTAACACTCCCAATAAGAGGTTGAGTTCAAGAAAAGAAAAAAGAAAAAAACTCGAGAAATACAAAGAAAATGTCTAATTTAATCAACGTCAAAACTTGATTTATCAAATGTAATTATGTAACAATTTAATCTAAAATCCTAATATTCATATTTCGAAATTATTGTATAAAATATTCAAGATAATTATTATATAAGCGATTTGAAATTGTTTTATAACTAATGTAAAATTTTGTGTAATCGATCCTGTGTCGTAGGAGATAATATAGTTATTTGGAAAAAAATATATATATATACATTTATTTTATTTTTTCAAATAATAGAAGTATTTTGAGACAAGATTTACTAATTAATTGGACATGGATTAGTTTTTGTCTGGTAACTGATTTTTAAGGTTCACCATAAGCGGAAATGTTCTACCTGGGAGGGCATGCAGATTCTTGCGCATTGGTCACACTGACATTTGTAGATTTTTTGGACTACTATTTTAAAATATATATATATATATATATATATATTTCACATCCACAATTTAAAAAATATATTATAGGTCTACATCCACAAATTGCATCACAACTTGACAAGATGTCTTACCAAAACAAATTAATAATTATTTGAAATTGTAAATTACATATGGCTGATTTCTGAGCACATATCTGGCCAAGCATGTTGTTTCCAATCACATGTGACCTTTTATGTAAAGGGACGAGGATTGGACGGTCCAGATTTAATTTTCTTATCATTACTTCTTTTGGTATGACAGTGATGGGTTCTGTTGGAATAGTGCCCCAATCACATTGACACCAATTCATGTCTCCATTAAGGTTTCTCTCTCTTCATGGTTCTTTTTTTTTTTTTTTGGCTTTCCTTCCCACTAAATTGGTGATTTGACTTTTTTCTGACAATAATACCCTTGGATGGCAATTGACATCATGCATGATGTTTTCTTAAAAATTTTGTTTCATTTTTATTTTTTATTCTCCCTGCCCCAAATTAAATGTATTCTTTGAAAACTGTGAAATTTAGAATTTGTAGTCATGGTTTAAAGAATGACTTTATTTTAGTATAAAATAAATTATCAAATTGATGTTGTACGGAATGCTAAGTAGTGTAACAAAAACTATGATCATTATCAATTAATAATAAAAATAACATAGGAATATAATCACATATTTATAGTCATTGTTTAATTAAATGGTCTTCCAGGACAT